TCTCCTGTAGCCGACCTCAGAGGAGACCGTCCTCGGAGGGAGACGCGCTGCCCATCGGAGTACAGAAGACTTGAGAAAATCCACGAAGGTGAAGGAACTGATTCCCAAGCCCCCCCCCCCCCGTTCTAGCTGACCCAAGCAGAGAGTCTCTCTGAGCTTGTGCGGAGTAGCTGCAGGAGCAGGTCGAGGGCTGTGGGTCCCGGTCAGCGTGGAGGGCAGCTCTGGTGCCGGCTGGTGGGCTCCCTGCCTGCTTCTGTCTTGGTTTTCTCTCCTTTTCAGCGCACCTTTCCCCCTTTCTTGTCTCTCCCAGTGCTCCTTTTGAGGCAGGGTCCTGTGGGCGTCTTGAGAGATGCAGCCTTTTAAATGTCATAAGAACATAAGAGACGCCAATGTTGGATCAGGCCAAAGGCCCATACAGTCCAACACTCTGTGTATCTTTGAGTGTCAACAAGAAAGGTGGATGGTCAATGAAACCATGAGAGAGAGTGGGAGAGAGGGAAGTGTGGCCTAGTGGTGAGCCTGGTGGAAGAGGGCTGGGAAGACCCGGGTTCACATCCCCACTATGCCATGGAGACTGGCTGGGTGACCCTGGGCCCCTCTCTCTCTCTCTCTCTCTCTCTCTCTCTCTCTCTCTCTCTCACTCTCGCCTCCCTCCGGGTTTTTTTCCTCCGGGGGGGGGGGTTGTTAGGAAAATAAAATGGAAGCGGGGCGGGCAGTGTCGCGTGTTGCTCTGGGTCCCCCCAGGGGAGAGAAGTGGGGCATAAATGTCGGGATGCCTAAAATCCTACAAGGCGGCACCGAAGAGTATGGTAGGGTTTAATCCCCCACCCCTGTCCTTCCGGGCCAGTCTAGAGGCAGACCATTTCCACACAAACTTTCCTGAGCAAAGGTACCATTTCTTCTCTCGTAAATCAAGGGTGTGCCAACCGGCTTCCAAACGGGGGCTCCCCAGGCAGGTGTGGAATGCGGAGTCTGCTCAGGCAACCGAGGGGCACGGTGGTTGGCTGCCGCATGCGCGCCCTTGTCCACTGCCCAGTTGGGGCGGCTGCCGTTTCGAGCTTGACGGAAGGGAGGTGGGCCCAAGGAGCCCTGCCCGGAGAGGGCCTCTGGGCCTCTCCGTTGCCTCCCAGACCTGTGAAACAGCCCCCGGCAGAGGGAGGACTTGCCCTGGGCTCCCCCGGCAGTGCTGCCGAAGGCCTGGCGGCAAAGGGTCTCTCCGCCGTCAGTGTGGCCCTCCTGGAGCCTGCCTCTTTCCATTGTTGGTGCCCTGGTGCCTTCAAGGAGCTCAGGCTGGTGTCGTGAGCGTTCTCCCCGTCCCCCTCCTGTCCTCACGACAGCCCTGTGAGGTGGGTGAGGCTGGGGAAAGAAGTGTGTGGCTGTGGCCCCGGGTCGCCCCAGGAGCCGTGGGGCTGAAGGCCGAGCCGTGGTCTGCTCTTGGGGGGGGGCGGCCTGCCTGCCTGCCAGAGCGGCCCCTGCTGGCTAGGTGGGGGCGGGGGTCATCCTTTCGTGTTTCAGAGAAGCTGCTCTGTGTACAATTAAAACTTGTTTCTGGTAAACCTCATTCCAGGAAGATGAGCTTTTAACAAAAGGCTTTTGACAGCTGCAGGGTATTTCAATTTTTTTTAAGCCGAATGAAAAATCAATATATTTTTCTGAGTTATACATATTCAGAACAGGCGGGATATTTCCATTATAATGGAAAATGGGTGTCTGTGCCCATCTCGCCTGTCAGAGCCGGACCATCGCATTTTCCAAGCCACTGCTAAATATTTCAAACCCGATTTGATTGTGGTTCATGACAGCTAATGTTTCTCGGCTCTTGAGTGTCGGCGGGGGGGGGGGG